AATGGCCATCAGTTATAATTAAGTAAACATTAAAATGATAAAAAGGATGAAATATGAAAATGGATGTAATAGTTAATATGATCTTTGCTTTACAAGATTTATATATATGATAAGTTCATAAAGATAAAGATTAGATGCATACCAGATAACTATTTGCAGGTATACTTTCCACCACAGCTTTCCCACCAAAAAGTCCACGACCAAGAGGGCTATATGGAACTATCCCAATTCCCAGTTCCCTTTTTAAGCACATTAATAAGGCATGTGTCAAGCTTTTCCATCAAGAAATAAAATGAAAGACTTCAAATACCATGAGCTTATAGAGCTACTCAAACAACAAAACATATATTTTTCCATATAAAATCAATGGTAGTCAGTTTGTCGGTTTGTCCATAAATAAGAATCTAAGATAGAGTATAACACTTTCTGGGGAATTGAGTTGGAGGAGGGGGAGGTCAACTGAAGATACCTGCAAAGTGGGACTATTTCTTCCTCAATATCACGTGTCCAGAGGGACCACTCCATTTGCAAAGCGGTAATGGGATGAACTGCATGAGCTCTCCTAATGGTTTCAGGGCTTGCCTCAGATAAACCAAGGTACTTGATTTTTCCTTCTCCCACCAACTTCTTAAGTTCACCCATCTAAGGGAAAAGAAAATATCATAATATTTTAGTTTACCTCAAGCACACAGCTAAAATATTATATCAGCAGCAAACATGAGCATACACCAAGGAGAAAACTAAAGCCTTTTGCAATATGCAATGAATAATGTCATTCTTTGTAGAGCAGCACTTACAGTATCTTCTATTGGTACTGTTGTATCAATCCTGTGTTGGTAATAAAGATCAATATATTCCACACCAAGGCGATTCAGGCTAGCCTCACAACAGGAACGAACATATTCTGGAGTACCTTTTATTATGACACCATTTGAATCCAATTTCACAATACCAAATTTAGTGGCTAATTGTACCTTCTCCCGAGGTAGCTGCTTCAAAGCCTAAAAGACATTGATTTTAGTTAAAACATGAACTGCTTTCACAAGCAAAGTAAGAAAGCATAAAATATTTAACACACCACAGCAGAACTTGATAAATTTACTTTATATTAATTCTTTGATCTTCTAAACCAAAAGTGACTCAACAACTTTGTCATCCAGCTAAAGTGGATCATCTTCAACAATCAACAACCAACGTTCTAGATAACTAGATCTTTCTTGGTATTTGCACTAACAAATGATTTGCAGAACTTCTCTTTCCTTTTTCATGTTATTGAAAGGAATAGATCACAAATGAAAGGAAGTTCACCAAATAATCTATTTATCTATAACATTAACATCAACAATCTATGCAAACTACTACAAACATTAATTCCTAGTAGCTCAAGTACCAAATTGATGGAAAGATAATTAAGGTTCCATCTAGTCTAGTTAGAAATTTTAAGCCTCTATCTTATATCCAACAACTACAACTATAGAATCAACAGCAGAATTTGTTCTAACTTGGGGGAGGAACTTGTGTTGAAGCAAGTTTATACCTTTCCAACTAATACTTCATTAGTATTAGCTCCATAGAAATCTGAAGTATCAAAGAAAGTAATCCCACTGTGAAATGCATGCTTGATGATTGATATGCCAACTTCTTCAGGGACAGGATCGTTATAAAATCCAGTTAGCCCCATACAACCAAATCCCAACTTGGAGACCTACAAAATAATTGCATCGCAACAGGTAAGGTATTAAAGAAGGGTACTTAATTTACTTAATTAACATCTTCACAAAATTAGAAAGCTTTACCTAAAACACAAGGGCACTAGTCTCAAATGGCCAAGGAGACAAGCATAGATTGTGCAGATATTTGAAGAAACTACAAAGTTTATTGCTTGACTTCCAATCAAGAAACTCTATTTTTCTGGAAAACTCTGAACTTAAAGTTGAAGATTACCTCAAGTCCTTGAGTACCCAGTTTCACTCTGGGAATGACAACACCCTGCTGCTGCTGCTGCTGCCCAACCCCAGCCATTGTTGAACTCTGTTCTCCTCTGTGCTTGAAACTTGAAACGTTCACTTGGGCAGCTTACAGCTTTGAGTAGAACCTGTGATCTTGTGGTGCAGGAGATTCGAATTTATAGGTGCGGCCTCCCTCTGTAGCTCCACTCACTGACGCCAACTTGTATGTCATCTGCATTAGAAACCGACAAAATGGTGACAAAATGGAAATCTTTTCCTACTTCTCAAATTTTGACAACAAAGGCTGGGGTGGGAGTAGTGGGTGCAACGGCAGCCAGAATGTTTTTAAACTCATATAGGAGGTCAAACCGTTTTGATTTTCAATTCACGATTTGAATGATTTAATTAGTTTAAGGGAGAAAACCACTGGGTTGATTTAAATACTATAAATATATTATTATGCAAAGCATTTCACGTGGATGAGGTGTAGTGGTGGGTGGTTGATTTTTTATGTGAAAGATTACTAGTTTGAGTTCTCGAGAATAAATTTTAATATAATTATAATTTTAAAAATAAAATAAATATATTGTAAAACAAAAAATTACTAATAGAAGGTTGCACATGGTATAGAGGGTATTCGATTCCCAAGACTGCTATCAATAATTTAATTAAAAGTTTTGAAAGATTTATTAAATAAATAAAATTTCACGCACCTATGAACACAATGGTTCTAGTGGCAAAGAATCAAAATAAAGGCTTGAAGGTTGTAGGTTCAAGCCTCGTGAGAGATAAGTTTGCCAAGATTTTAAGCCCAATATTGAACCATTTAATCGAATGATTTATTGGTTTTAATGGTTTTTATCAGTTTCAAATAATTTAACCATTTAAATGATTTAAAAAATGTATTTGAACCGTTTATAATATTGGGTATCGGTTTAGCCGATCCAACCAGTCAACCGATCCAATTTTTAAAAATGTGCCAGCCACTCTTTTGATTCGGTCACAACTCTACTGAGCAGTTGATAATTTAATATTAATTAACAAAAAAACGTGTTTTACAAGACACTGTAAGTATATAAAAA